GAAATTCCATGCGGAAGTTTGGAATGTGAAAATCACCCCTACCCTTTACTACAGTATAATTTAGCTACAATATCATTCCGACGAGGTAGTAATTGATCGCTGTTCACAACCAAGAAGTTCACTGCATGAGAAAACTTGTATCTGAAAGCTCGTACCGTTCCCCACCCAAGACCACAACTCGTCCTCACATCATAGCTTTCAACAAAGGAGTGGTATGACTTGATCGCGTGTACACTACCATAATTGGGTGATCTGAAAACGCAGCCAATCCAACAGAGTGTGGCGAAAAATCATCACCGCTCAACATTGCTTCCTTCTCCGCCGCTTCCACAGACGTGACCGTCCGGTACACTATTGGCAGCTCGTGCAATATCCACCTAACGGAACACTACCGCGCGCCACGAAATTAAACAGCAAAGTACCTCTTCAATGTCCTTGGATTGATCTCAGCAATTGGCATCAAACTAGGAGGGATCTCGGGATGGGCTGGCATGAAGAGGAAGATTGTCGGGGTCGTCCTCGGAGTTATCGGCAATGACTTGAACAACTGGCACATACAACAACCTCACATGTCTTCAGTGCCCCCTGGTTGGTTTCGCCCCTTCTTCAATGAAGAGCGGTTCGTATCATTCGGACATACTTCGACCTAGTACTCACCGCCCGATCAGTATGGGAGTTGATTCTCCCGAATTTGATGTACCCCTTGAGATCACTGGAGACCTCATCCCAGGCTGGCGCTATACTATGACAATATTCATCCAAGTCCGAATACACCTAAACACTTCGAAACTTCCCCTCCAAAACTGTCCTCCACTTACCTCGACAACCCAAATGTCAACTGAGTGGTCCATGATGCTATGATAGTTTTCACTCGTGAGTCGAGCAGAGTAGTCGCTTGGTATGGAGTCGTAACCACCTGACACTTCTGAATACAGGGAGGAGGCACTGATGCCCACTGATTCTATATGAAATTACATGCAATGGAGTTTCACCCGTGATATGAAAAACAACACTAATGCAGAATATATTTCACGACTACTGCATAGCGCAAACATCGGGTTTCTCCCAGAGTACTAGGCCACTCCACGTAGAGCGGGTGAAACTCCAATGTATACCCTATCGAATTACGATGTTTTGTTTTTCTCCCATGATTTTCTTTCTCTAGTTTGTTCAACAAACTTCTTTCTAATCCGTCCATCTGAGGTCACCTCTATTAGTATCATAAACCTTTCTCTTGTTCTGATCTCCCAAAGTCTCATAGGCCTTCGCCACAGACTGGAAGCGTGCAAGGCAGCTTTCACAGTTAGGATTTCTATCAGGATGCCACTTCATTGCCAACTTCCTGTACGCATTCCGTATCTCTCCGTGCTTGGCCTTAGGATCAACATTGAGCACCTGTCAGCGACCATTCAACAGCCCATCATAACCCTCTACGATGAGCCAATAAGCGCTCGCCCGGCCCTGCCAGCAGTACACGAGTTTTTATTCAGCGTAGTTCTTTTAATTGACCCTCCCCGTTGCTGCAATAGCCGGAACATCTCTATTTCAGATCGAATGCAATGCACTATCCGAGCGAAGCTCATTGATGGCGTTGGAGAATCTACTGTGCCTAGTTCCTTATCGCCTATGACCTGGTAATAGTCTTCCTCTTGGTCTCCAAGCGACCATCCTCCCATCTCCTGGTATGCCTCTTCTCCCATCTTCAACATCACCAACAACACAATTATCTAAAACAGAACTTCCTACTATGTCCGTCAGACTGAGAACAACAGAGTTATCAACTACAACTGCGTACGACTCATAGGATCACAAGTAAGTGGTGCACTACCGGAAGGACATAGAGCATCCATTTGCAGTCGGACCACGTGAAAGGCTGCGGCTCCCGGCGTGCTCCTGAAAGTAGTTCCCTACGCTCTGTCATACCGAAACTTTCCCACTTCTCTGCTTCCGCTCAGTGGTATCTCCCGAGGCTGCTATCTCATCCTCGGACTCCGATACTAGGGGCTCCTAAAGTGATATACAATGGTACTACCAGCAGCTTGGCAATACTACAATACTAGGTGAGAAATAAGTAACTCCCATGGGCGGAATAATACAATACGTGAGATGATAATGATGATGATACAAAATACTCACATTATCATCGGACGGCTCTTGAGACCCCTCCTGCCCTAGTTTGGTGTCTTCCTTCTCTTTGACTCGCCTCGACGCTCCATGAAGCCTCTCCTTCTCCTTCTGACGTAGTCTCCTCTGCTTACTCTTACTCATTTTCTTAGGCCCTTCCTCTACAGACTCTTCAACTCCATCATTTACACTAATAACAGCATACAACTCCATGCAAAAACCAGTACTCACTCTCTCAGTGAAAGTGCGACAATATGACACGGAAAAAACCAAGTCCGTCACCTAGTCCTTATCGCCGAGTACTACCCTCTCCCTTCCTCCTCTACCGCATGCCCCTCCACAGTCGCCTCGTCATCCTCATCACTGACGAGCTGAAGTCCCCCAGCATCATCCACCATCACGAAGCTCGATTCGGAGACACTCTCATCTCCACCCCTGAGACGAAATTCTCCGCAGTGTCGCAAAGGCCCTTCCTCTACCCGTCAGTCGTGAGCTTTTGTTCTTCTCCCTCGAGAGCATTGGTTTTCTAAAAAGTTAGATGTTGCGCGAATCCAATGGCCGTCTCCTCGGTGGAAGACATCTCGGGTGAATGCAACAGGAACCTACCCTTTTCTCCTTCCTATTCTTCCGACTCTTCACACTATCACTCGGAGGTTGCACAATGTCGACTCCTGCATCATGTACCTCGCCTGCCGACACGCGGATTCTCTTCATTTCACTCACAGCAGATATGCGAACCGCATCCAACTCCAATACGAGACAAGTCGATTTTACTACCTTCGCGCCGCGCACCATCTGACTGCAGTTGAGCCACCAGCTCGGTCACATCTACTTCCTTTATATCTTCCCCTTTCTTCAATCCATTTCTATTACCACGCGATTTCTTCGGCATCGACAGGCATACACTTTACAAAAACACTAGCTGTTCAAAATGGCCCTACCCCGAGGTCCCACTGCAATTCTCATAGGATTAATTCTCCCCAAGATGGACGAGAGTGCATTCACTATGCCAACGTCTCCTCATCAGCGCGATAAACCCAACAGTACTTTATAAAAGAATCACTAGACACTGTTCAGGCAGTAGGTTCACAGAGCAGGTACAACCATTCGAGAGTATGTGCTCGAATAAAATATCAACTCGAGGGAATACTCCATGTCATATCTCACTGACTCCGGATTTCACTTACCGCATAAACAAGGCACGAAGGCGAACCTTCATCAGAACCTTTTGTGGAAGTCACGCTATGTTTCGCCAGTAAATACAATATTCAGGACATTCGCAGTTCATTACAATAACTGATATAAACTGCGAATGTCCGTCAGACTTGCTCGTGTCGAGAACTCGAGAGCGCGACTGTCACTGAAGTGTGTGACGAACTAGATAGTCCGCCTGTGTTGTTTTCTATGGGTATCGGGGACACGACGCAGAGCAGTGTATAAAGATACGGGCAAAAGAGCAGATAACCAGTTGACGAGACTTGACGGATCAGTGGGAGCAGTTGTAGGGACGATATGGGGATTAGGGGGACGGGAGCAATAGAGAAGAAGGCCCTTCTTAGAAGGGCACTGTTGATCAATAGTGAAAGTTATCCCACAAGTCACGTATGCAACGACTCGATCAACTATTCAATGATGACGATGCGTCGACTATCTTGGAGCGTTTCGGAGCGAATATCTGGCGTGCGCGAAACAATAATTGGTCTTTTTCACTAACCCCTTAAAGTTGGCGGGACTTAAAGTTAGAGGAACCTGATTTAACAAGTTAGGACTAAGCAAGTTCATGAAAACTTACGAGAAAATGGAAAGGCTATTGGGAAGAAGACACGTTCGGGAAAGATGATCAGCGCACAGTGGCATCGCGCTCGCCCGAATATCTAAAGTATGATGAGCATCTGAAACGATTGGATTATTGTAACGGCTCGTTGGAGCAATCATATAGTGAGTCGAAGGCAGTTGAATCTCTGTACGACTATTCTCGCTGTATCGATAGTAAGCGCTCTGAGTCTTACTGATTGTGTCACTGATCCGAGCCGTCTTGAATCTGAGTACTATCTGTGACTAATCGGATCTAAGTTAATCTTGTCGCGCTGGGTCTGGGACGGCTAACACGCGTAGTGTGTATCAAGAGTCTGGTGAGTCTATGAGCGTATCGCTAGGAGCGTCTAGAATCCCTCGTTTGAGGCCTAGATCATCCTCCGGTACTTCTTCACAGCACAGGAACCATCATGCGTCTAACATAGCTACTGCTACTGGTATCTACACGACCGTCCCACCCTCACACTGTGCGTAAATTTCAACCAAAATTAAGTTCGATTACATTCGAAAAAATGCAGTAGAACTTCATTCCCTGGGAATCGTGCTCGCATGGTTTGAGGCACGCGGTTACTTACCTTACCGCGGGTTAGTTACCGGAGCGTAATGACGTATTCTTTCGCATTTCCGCGAGGTTAGGCCGGGGTAAGGCCCATCGGTCGGGCCTTTGCTCGTACTCGAGTTTTTCGATTCTTCTGCGAACCTCGGATCATAGAGGTCTCGTTTGATCCATCCCATGCTCTCGAAGTCCGAGGCTTTGACGCTCAATTGTTGATTCAAAAAACTTCATCACGCACGCACGCACGCACGCACAATGCGAAAGTGCCTGTTGTCGCAACTTCCCTGGCAGCAGACTTATCCTGGTGTCAAAATGTTGTTCCAGTATTGACACCCAAGCTGGGAGTTTCATGTGAAGTTTTAGGCTAGAACTTCACAAAGGCGCGGAGAGCCTATGACGTATGCGTGCAACTGTATAAGGGACATGTCTAATGCAAGACAACGAAACTACGACCAATGGTGTAGGATGACCGTTCTCGGTTCCCTACACCGAACAGACGAGTGGGAAACTCCCACTCGGAGTGCTAAGTTTACACTGGTGCGTACTCAGAGTGAATCAACTAAGAACGACACAATGGTGAACTACAACATATAACGTCACGCGAAATTTCAAGCTAGCTACCGCGCAATCAGGCGGCGGTATCTCTGTCTAGCAAAACCACCTCCTCCACGGCTCTGACCGTGATGGCTCGAGTGAACTAACCCGATGAGTTGCCTTTCATGTCATTTGAACCTGTTGGGCCAACATTGGTGGCATGTTCTACCACTCAAGGTGTTGAGGCCAGAGGTTCCGGTATGTGCGGCCATTCGCCTTCATTGTGCGCGTTTGTCTTGATTGTGCGCATTCGTCGTGACGCTTGCCGATACCGTACCGTGTTCAACATGGCGTGTTGTGATGTGCCTGCTTCAGCTTAGATTCAGTGAAGTAGAGATCCATCATAAATGATTCCAACTACGCTCACTCTTCTTGGTATTATATACTTTTCAATCGCGTCCCAGGAGCAAGAGGTGTATATCAAGCCAATCTCCGTGGCGCAGCCAGGACTAGGCAGCCAATGGAATCAGCTCCTTGTTGCCTTCTACCCCAACGGCCAAGAGGTAAACCTGGCAGTTGACACAGGGTCCACTCGAACGTTCCTTGTGTGGAGAGCTCAGTATGAAAGGGTTAAGCCAGGCGGCTGTCATAATTTAATTTATCATTGC